TAGCCTTGCTGCCTTTCAGGTGAGGTGAGACAAGCTTTCTTGTACATCAGTTTAGGCATTACTGAGCTTACTCAAATATTAATTTAAGTACTGAGTCAAAAAATTGGCATTAGTTCTATAAGAGGTTTTGCACCTGCAATGGCTTTGCTTTGCAAACATTGTTCTGCATTTATTTGATCTCATGAAATCAACTCTGTCTGCTTTTGCAGTTATGATATAGCTGTAAATGGTACTAAATGTGAGTCTTGGATGGACTAGTTGAATATTTCCATTTCTTGATGTTTTCTGTTTTAAGATTTTTCTAACCAATAAATTGTGCTTATATAACCTGAAATGTTTTTTATTTAAGTGTAATAAAAATAGCTTGTTTAAAAAGGAACATATTTCAGTTTTAGTCAAACTAATTAAACTGYTTTAAATTAAAGCCAATAAACTGCTCAAGTCAGGGATAAGTGCCTACACAGTCTTCTGGACTAATTTAATTGCAATCTATTTCAATTCAACCTTATTTTATGCACTGCAGCTTTCTTGGACATASAATCTCTTGTATATTCTAAGCTCTGATGCCTTCATTGTGAGGCGAAATGATTATTAAATAGTGTGGAAGCTTTCTTTTTCTGCTACAGTAGCTGCCTTGTGTTTTTCTTTGTTGTGTGCTGCCATAGCACAGCCTGTGTTTAACCAACATTAGTGCCAGCCCAAGGCTGAACAAGCAGCCACAGTAAGGTGATAATGCCAAGCTGACAAAGCATCAGGGAAGATCTATGTAAGGAGGAACAGTCTTTAAAAATGTATTGAAAGTRCAGACATCAGCACTGTAGATTGTGTAAACGACCCAGCCCAAAAAATGTCCTTGGTGACCCTTGCATGGTGGCACAGATGTGTGCATGTTCATGTTCACATACCTACAATATAAAGATAGGATTAAAATGATTTTATATCATRCAGCTATTCCCATGAGAGCTGAGATAAACATGTCTGGCTGTAGGTTTCCATAAATGAGCTTCTTAAACTCTGTAATTCTTTCACAAATGTCATTAAACAAATATTTTTTTTAGTTTATATTAAAAATAGTATTATATGACTTGGCCCTTCAGCAGTGTCTCTCTGACAGCATGTGGGTTTTTTTTGTTTTGATTTGGTTTTCGTTTGTTTGGGTTTTTTTAAGCTGTGAATATTATTACTATTTTTTTTTAATTCATCTTTTATGTGTTGTGGCTGCCAAAATGTTTTAACATTTCCTAGGGACTGATARAAACTGTTTTGAGGTAATGAAAGTCTTTTTATCTGACTGTAGAAATACACAGAATAGATGGCTTTTSTGCATATTAGATTCTATTTTATACCTGGAGCAGAAAGGCAGCTGATTTGTATGGCTGTGAATGACCAAGTACCTGTCATCACACACCTCATTTGGCTTSCCTGTAGGCAGTACCAGAGTATGAGTCATATATTGGATTTATTGATCTGCTKTATTCCTACAATCTGGTAAGTGTTCTAATTTCATTATCCTTCCAGTGCAAATTACAGCATGAAATATTTCTTAGACATTTAGCAGCCAGAAGCAGGCATAGGGAAAGAGCTGGAAGACASTGTTTTAGTTTGGAGAAATGTCTGAGAAAGGATTTTCTTAGTTGAAAACTGTCTTTTGTGTGACTTCTGACTGAGAGAAAATTCCTGATCTGTCTTTTCTGGGGCCAGATGACTGCTACATAGGATGGTGTTTTTATAGCAGGACATGAAGTTGCTGTGCAGTCTTTGCTGTGTATCTGTGGCTTATTTGGTTTCTCTAGGTTCTTGTCCTCCATGAATAGCCAATGCTTGCCCAAAAAAGCACTGTGTGCAATTCTGTAATAGGTATGAAATTAGATTTTCAGATGTTCCCTGTCATTGGCAATATTCTACTGAGGCATTTGTGCTGTTGATGAAATTCTCCTTCAGAGTGATAACATYGGAGCTGTCTGTGGGGAATTTGACACAGATGACTGGTGAAACCAAAAAAGATGACTAAGGCTTTGGTGAATCTGCAGATCTTGAGTTGCTTTGAAAAGAAGCCAGTACKATTTCCTAGCTGAAATTGTGAGCTTTGTAAACAACACTTTCAATTTATTTCTTTACTCTTGCCTTCAGCTAGGGAAAGTCTTCTGTTCCCGGGTGGTGAAAAGAGTTATCAAGCAACAGGGAAAATTAAGTAAACTCAGAACTGATTAAAGAATTAGTTTTCTTTGAGAAGGAGTGACAAAAGTACATGGCATATAGAGGTAACTGCAAATTTTTTTGAGAACAGGTGACTTTTTTAATAAATGATCTCATACACTATAGATTAAAGAAATGCAGCTTGTAGCTGAAGTTCATGATGATGAAGTTTCTGGTAATCTTCAGTTCCTGTTTCATAACTGCAGATGAGCCATTAAGATAATAGGGTAGCTAAACCCCAAGCACAGCAGTTTGGCAAAGCACTTGGTGGAATTGCAGTGCATAGAACAGCTGTCCCAAACAAAAACAAAAATGCTGATGCCTCTGCTGAGTGTCTTAAAAGCTACCAAGCGTGAAGGCATAGRAAAAGCTAAGGCACACTCATGTAGTCTAGGAAGCCTGGGGATTTTAGAGAGGAGATTTTGTAGCAGAGGGATGAATAAGGAATTTCTGTAGCTGAAGGATGAATGATCTGACTGCATAGAAGTACAAAGATGTGCCAGAGACAATAGGGAAATCATTGACTGCAGCATCATGATTCTAAAAGGTGTTGAAGATATGAATRCCTAGTTCAGCCTGGGGACAGGAGGGGCAGGAGTTGTTCAGGTTTGGAAAAGCTCTAGCAGAAGTGCTGGTGACAACTGTTAAGACTAAAATTTGCCAAAAGTGCCTAAATTTTGCATACACAAATACCACCTGTGGTTTACCTCTGCCTTATATAAGAGGTAGACTGGAACTGAAGTGCTAGTGTGAGGGAGCACTGTTATCCTKCTGAGTGTAGTGTGACTATTTCTCTGTCAATGCTAAAGAATTTTCAATGATCATTATAGCATTAAAATCTTCTCAAGACAGAATTACTGCTCACCAGGTCTTTATTTCAGTAGTGTTTCACAGTGATAAAATAACATACAAACCCTGTCATTTAACCTAGTTTAATCTAGTGTAAGACTTCACACTTTTTTTCCCTCATACAGGCTTTACAGTAATGTTAGATCAATGTGTGTTCTCAAATACTMTTCTAACTCAGAAGCAGTTACATCTACCAGAGAAAATATTATCTCAGCAATAYGACATAGGAAATAATGTCATGCTTGTGTAATTGCACAGCAACTTGAGACATTATTGAGTCACTTTTGAGAAGATGTTGACTCAGTGGCTCAGATGTATCTTTAGGATAACMTGAGTGTTTTAATAGATGCAGTCTTAAATCTACCATGCTATTAAACACAAAGGGCAAATTTATGCTTGGCAGGTCTCCCTTRGAAATGTTGGCACTAAACCAGGGAGCAATTTTCCCTATTGCATTTAGCAACATGTTTCAGATTTATATGCCATGGAGCCATTAAWATATGACTCCATCAATTAGAAAGTAATTGTGGTATTTCTTTCTAGTGCTGAGGGATTAACTCAGTTTAATCTCAGTGTGGTTAAMAAAGGCAGTTAGCTACTTGTTTTAAATATGAGTTAAATCTGTAAAAAATAATGACTTCATGGAGAACAGGATTGGCCCCATGGCATGTGCCCAGAAATTGGGCTGTTGACTTTACTGAGTTCAGTGRCAATCTTGAACTGAAGGGCAAAATGATGGAGCCCCCAGGGGCTGTTCCTCTAGGTGGTCTGTACTTGAAATTCACATACAAGCTTGGTATCTTTAAAAAAGATCATGAAAGAGAATATTAAACTGTATACAGCTTCAGTCCTCTTTGTGTTGATGCCAACATTTGCTTTAGGGCAACTTCATAAAGCAGCAACAGGAAGAAACTGAAGCATAATGGTTGAGTACTTGTCAGTATTTACTGTCACCAATAATTACTATTAGAAAATCCAACTTGGCATAATGGATATTAGACAAAAGCCAGCAATGGAGCTGGAGCTCCTTGAGATATTCTTGTTCCACAGCTGGCACTTCCCATCCTGTTAGCTGGTAACCAGCAGGCTCTTCATCCTAATTCATTGTAGAGCAAATAAAAATCAGTTGGCTCCATTCATCTGCAGAATACTTTACTACTGTAAACTGATGGTGTTGKGAAGAATTTCTAGAATTTTATCAGTGAATTTGGAAATATTTGAAGAATGACAGGGAAAGCAGGGGACAAAACAGTGTCCCTTGCTTTGGGTAGCACTTTAGTCCTGCTTGGGTCTGCCGCAGAATGCCTGTRCACACTGCCAAAGTCTTGTCTCTCTGGAGTTGAAAACCCTAACCTTTAAGGCAAATAAAATACGTTTTAAATGAAAGAGAAAGCATACTGGAATATTGGAAAGAAATTTATGATCTCTCTTGGCACGTTCTCCTTTAGTGGATGGGGAAGGTCCTGTAACCACGATTGCTTGCCTTGCTATAGAGGGTTAGAAAAAAAAAAGAGGAACAGAATGGTTAAAGCTGAGCAAAATCAGCAGGAGGGATGTGGGGGGCTCCCTGAGGGGAAGGGGGAGAGGAAGTGAGATCTCCTGTGGCTGGGAGTTTGCCTTTTACTTTTAGTGGATATCAAGGCTGATCTGTGGAAGGCCCATTGAAGATACTGTTTTTTTGTTGKTTTTTTTTTTTACTTTTACCATATTATGCAAAAAAGGGGAAAAACCATGTTATTTGCCTTTTGTGTGTCACGCTTCCAGGCCAGTGATCCATGTGGTCCCAGCCTTGGCCCCACACTTGGAACAAAGTCTTTGGACAAGCTTGGRAACAAAGTTGGGACAAAGTCTGATGATTCGATCCAGTCTTTCCCTGAAATGAATTAACTGAGTGTGAATTACCTCCCTTTGCAATGTGCATTGAATTTGATTTCTTCTGGTTTTATTTCTTCTAGGGCTGCCAGAACGAGTGCACAGGCGGAGGATGTTCYGGAGAAACAGGAAAGCAAATGAGTGAATCTTTCAAGGTATGTATGAATGGTCTTCAGAAGAAGGTTTTTCCACTGAGTCCCAAAGTTGCAGAGGTAAGGATTTCAGGACTCCAAAGCACTGCAGCTCTGGAACATTATCAGCACTCCACGACAAACAGGGATATGATAATAAGGAATGTTGAACAGCTGCCAGGAACTGACATAAAATTGCATCCTTCTCTTTTTATTTTGATCTTATGTTTGGAAACGAGCTCAGTTAAAACATCAGTCTTCCTCTGCCTTCTTCCTGAATGCAGTGCTAGTTACTAAGAGCTCATTTAAAACCCTTTATGGATACAGATGTCAGTTTCCCATTTTCTGTTGAAAGTGCAGAGCCTGTCAGCATGTCCTCCTTTGAATTATACATCTGTCCTGACTTCGTTTTTTCCTGCCTTTTATAGATCTTTTGTCTTTATAAATGTGTGACGTAAGGAATAATTATTTTTCTCTYTTACTCCCTGATTTACAGTCTTTAAAAAAGCCTCATCTATATTTTATACAAATTTAGAAGTACTACTCAGAAAAACTCATGTTTTTTCAGCAGCTCCTTTCCTGTTATTTCTGACTGTTGGCAGCAGTACGAGATGAMATTACAGTGATACACTTTGTGTCATGTTCTTGATTTTTTTTTGGGCAGTACCACTGCTGTGCAGTTTTCTGAACTGCGCTAAAGTAATTATTTTCCCTTCAATTGTCAGGCTTTAAGCAGATAAGAAAAATTAATGCTGTAATAAATATGTTGGGCTCTTTGGTAAGGTTTGTTCTGATGTTGTTTTCATTGAAAACAGCAAAGAAATCTTGAGAGTCCATGACTACAGAATTTCACCRTGTAGCAACATGCCATTTAATTTCTATTTCCTCATTCTCAGCCCTTTCCAATTCTTCTCTTCCTCATTTCTTTCTGTTGTGTCTCTCTGGCAGTTCTGACCAAGGAGGAAAATTCAGGATGACTTTTTAGCCAGAAGGTCTGATTTGAAAAATGTTGACAAAACCAGGCATGCAGCCAGTTTTGAAACCCCAAGAATTTGCAAGTCTGGAGTGCAGGGTTTTGTGAATTCACCCGCAATAAATAGATCTCAGTAGATTCATTCAGCAGATTGTGCTGGTGTATTTGCAAACAAGAATTGCTTTACAGAGAGGAGACTCTTGTGTGACCAAACTGAATTGTATCTTTCACTCATTGAGGCAATCCAGAAGGAAGACAGAGTGGCAGCAAACTCTGGTAGTGTTTGGGTCGTGGGTGAACTTGGCATAAACTAAAGCAGACTTACGGCAGATTTAATTATAACAGCAGTCAAGCAGGTGCCTTACCAAAGCTCCAAATACTGGGTGGCACAAAGTTGGATTTAGTCCAGGTTCCTTTSCATTGATACTTGTATGTCAGACAGAATGGCAAATCATTGTAGTGGAGAGGCTGGGTGAGGGGAAAAATACATTAGCAGGTGGGACAGATGGTCATAAAGGGAATAATGCTAGGAGAAAGCAGCTGGCTCAGGCTGAAGTCTAATTTGTAAGACTTCACTCGTGCCTTATGGCTCTGTTTCTGAAGATTAGCTGCAGTCAGTGGGGGGTAGAGCTTTCTAGAAAATGCTGTACTGTGTGAGGTGTGTGTATGAAAGTTAAGGTGAGRATATAGATCCTGGTTGTAGTATCATGCATTGTGTCTAGCCTCCTTAACGTCATAGTAAAATTAAGAAGAAAGACTTCATAAATGAAGGAAAAAACAGCAACAGAAAATGAAATAGCCTGGATTCATTCTAGGGAACTTCACAAACRTTTTTGTGGAAGACAGTTATGGTTACCATTGCAGAAACTATAGCTAATAATATTTCAAAGGAATCAAGCTGGCCCATGGGGCTGACTGTATTGAAGAAAACTGCAGTTTTGTGCCAGTAACCTAAGCAATCCAAGATTGTGGGGATGTAGAAAACAGGGTATGGTTTTGGTTAAAGCTTACATAAAACATATTGTTTACAGTGGGTCGTGCCCAACATTTGAATGCCAGATTAGTCTTCTGAAGATGTTTCTTTCTRGAATGCAGTGCTGTACTTTTTAGGTAGGGTGAGCTGCTTTAAATTTTATTGCAGTTTCTGTCTGAATTCGAAAGGTGGACTCAGAAAATCCCTGTATATTGGGAAGGAAGGAATGAATATTACTTATAATTTCTGGCAGGCAGTGAGCCTCTCTGCTGCTTGCTGTTCTCTATTCTCATGGACTTCTCTTAAGGCAACAGGTCAGAATTGGTGTTTCCTTCATCCTGACTGCTACTGAGTTACCCTAATTTGACTCAGTTCTGCAGTTAAAAATCTCATCCTGCAGAAATACAGTGGTTACAAGGCATTTAAAGGATGGCATTTAGAATTGACACRTGAGCAGTGATCTTGGAACAGCTGAGAAACATTGAAGGAAATAATGATKATGCTGCAGTTTCCTGTATTCTAGAAAGTGCCAAATCTCCAGGATTTATCTATCAGGCTCCTTCCATGAGAGTGAAATCTTCCTCCCTCCCTCAACTGTTGTATGCACATACTAATATATTTGTTTATTTAAATATCCCTAGTATCTTCAAATAATATTTATATGATGATGGTTTGTGACCACAACCTAAAAGGTTGTAGTTTTTTCCTATTTTCATTATTGGATCTCTGGGAGGGGAATATGAAACGAGTAATGGAAAGTGCAGTAATCCTTTGTACCACTAGATGCTTTTTGGAAAGCTGAATCAAGAAATGCACATATCTGGTTTTGTGCTTATATTGCATCCCATAATACCACAAAATAGCAAACAATTATRTTTAAGGCATAATTAATTTTATGACTAAAAATCTGGTAGTTTCTTTAATACATTCATTCTGCTTATTGTGCTGCCGCAAGAAACAATGAATGTTGTTTGGAGAATGTAGAAGTCTGTTTCCATATGTAACTCGGATTTGGTTTCTTTTAATGTGTGAATTAGCTCTGACTTGGAATTCCTAACACTTCATGTTAAGAAAATAAAGGCATCTGTGATGCCTTTTATTTCTCTCATATCCAGAAAAATGATTTTATTTGTATGTAGCCTTTTGTCTTGGAATATGTTTTCCTTTTGAGATACAAGGAGCACTTAAAAAGAGTATTACCTACTCCTATTATGTTTCTCTGAGTTTCAGTGATCTGAAGCCGTGGAAAAATTGGCATCTCAATGGTGCAAAGTTCAGTTATTTTTACTTTTTAGCAGCCTCTTTAGTGTGCCAAAGTGGTGCAGACTTTCTAGGAACTTTCTAGAGAATACTGGCTAGTCTGCTACACCAAAGCAAAACAGAGTAGCTGTGGCTTACAAGTGGATCTGGACTGAGTTGCTGAAGTGAGGACCTGTGGTGGCAGAATGAGAAATGTTTAGYTGGGAGTTCTGCGTCTGAATGGTTGCTGATGCTACTCTAAAAATCTGTGAGTGCTCCCAGAGTTTTCTGCAGACAGACCCAACCTTCCAGGCTCTGAGCCAGTGGAATGTGAGCCCATGGCAGACTGGAAGCTGCATAGGCAGGTTAGTGCAGTGCTGTGCTCCAACTGGTGATCCCTGTTGCCATCTTGGATTTGCTAGACTGAGTACAGTGCTGTGCTAATATGCTTGGCATGGCTTCCAGTTCGAAGCTATCTCACCTCTAGCCAGGTAATGTGGTGAGTATATTAAATTTTCTACAGTGATGTATGGTTTATTATTTGTTTCTTGCATTGCTATGATGTTTTAAAGTCCAAGCCATGAATTAGATGACACTGTGTTAAGTATAGTACAAATAGAAGATATTTTCCACTCTCCAGGTRTAAGCCTACAAAAAAACTCCAACCAGAATCTGTCAGTTTTCCCACAGAATCTAAAGCTGTAGTGTATTTTACACTAGACAAAACTGAATTTTTTTTTCCAGTGCAGGCATTTGTGGTTCAGATTGAGAGATTGCCARTGAGTTTTACTTCACTGTGAGCCATAACCATTTTTATACTACGTGGGCTATGATTTGTGTCAAATGCAGTGAGATACAGGATTCCTTGCTCTGGGAACTGGAAGAGAGAACAATCCATTTTGAGAAAATATATAATTTTAAGCTTTATTTTGGAAAACTGTTTTATATGTGAAAAGTCTGTTGGCAGTGATAAACAATTCTCTGGTCCTGATTTTTTTAAAGATGAAAATTGTTTGTTCAACAAACTTTCTTGCGTAAGTGCAAAGAGCCAAAAAAACCCAAACTAGTCTAATTTATGAAACACCTTCCTAAAGTCTAAACTAATTGACTGTATCACATTAGCATGTTAGTGTCACAGGGTGAAAGTTCCACTCCTCGAAGAGTTTAGGAAGTACAGAGCAGTTTTCCTTTGTTTTCATTTTATAGGAGCAGTAGGTAAAATTACTGACATGCTCAGAGCATATGGATCAAGTGAATGCCTAACTAATTTTAAATGAGGAAATGCACACTGTATAGTTGCTGTATTACCTACAAGACTAACAAATGTGAAGCAATTTACAGGATTTATATACTTTTAAATATGTATTTTTTCCTCCCCACCTTGTCCTCAATTTGTTGTTTTCTACTGACATCAATAAATTATTCACCTGCCAAAGCGTATTTGCACCCAGTGGGGCTTTTTGTCATATTGTTGACTCTTCAGGAGTTTTGAGGGTTAGGTGGAGATATTAGAAGAATACCCTGCATTGCCATTTTAAATTTTATATTAGACTYCATTTTATATTTTGCTTGAAGAGATAGAACATTGCTTCTATATTAAGTTGTATGGGGAAAGATTTATTATATAAATGTAATTACACCTTGATGCTGTGATGAGCAGTAGCTCCCCAGAATGTGTAGTATAGGAGATCTGCTCTTAYATAAACTATCTAGAAGCTGTTAGAGACAACCAATGGGATAGCTGTGTATGTGTGTGTGTAACAGGATACAATAAGAATCTTCAACTATTTTGTGTCTTAGAACCTTAGGTGGTCCAGTTCATTCTCCTACTGAAAGTGG